CTATGAAAGTTGTTATTATTTCTAAATAGATTTAACATTTTACAAACTCGAGAACTTTTCTTCCAACCCGACAAATAAAAAAAAACATTTCTCAGCCGATGCGTTTCATCCTCCGATGGAGTTTATCAGGGCAAATGTAAGGATTTTATATGGTAACAAGTATTTATAAACAGGAGTAAAACGGCGTTAATGTATATCGTCTACTCAAATATGGGTATCCATACCCCCCCCAAAAAAAAAACGTTTAAAGTAATAAAAATATGTAATCTGTTTCAAACTAGGTATTTATGCAGATGACGCAACTTCGTAGGAAGTTCGAGAGATTCGACAATGTAACCCTGGCAACTGCTCTCGAAAAGGTCATCCAGTCAGTGGTTAACTGGGGCAAGAAATGACTTGTAAATGTTAACGCCTCCAAGACAGAGACTTTTCTGTCCGCCATCAGCAGAACAAACTTCGTGGTCTAACGTTTTCCATTGACATAAAGTGGAGCCACAACAGGTGCTCGTCTAGGTAAGATGGTTCCCTGTCGTGCTAGAGAAATTTTCTCGTCATAATCTTGCAAAATTATGAATCAAGAATTCATCCGTGCATTGAATACTGCTGCCATATCTGGTCTGGTGTTCCTGCTGTCCATCTCGAGATTCTTGACAAAATTCAAAGAAAGGACTGCGTTGGGACGCACCCACCTTCTGACTGATAATGGACTGATCCCTCTACGATATGTCAGTGCTAGAGAGACTAGTTGTGTTGGTGCGAGGATCAGGTTCAGCGACAGCAGTCGAGATCAGGTTACCACTACATACCGTTGGACTGTAGACTTTTGCTATTGTTACTTACTAACCGGCGTTCCTTATTACTAATTACTCTGTTGTTAATTACCTCTTACAAATATACCAGTATTTATCCCGACAACTGTGTTTGTCTTTATTCGAATACACACACGCGGTAACACTCCCAACAACTCAACAGATTGTAATATAATAAATCCTGATCTGGCATCTGCACTTCAATCACTTTCTCACCGTGGCTTCCCTCCGTCTTTTCTACAAATACGTTCATGCAACTGACAAGTTTTTACCTTAGTGCCTCAACTACATGAAATTAAGCGTGCAGCTAGGTCTCACCATTTTACAGTTGAACTAACTAGATGTAACCGCAAGTTCTATTCTAATAGTTCCTTTTCTCGCACTACTCGCTTGTGGCACACCCTTCTGATTTCTTGCTTCTTCTGTCTTCCCGAATATTGCTACGTTATTGTCGTGTCTCCCACAAAAATTCATCTCATTCTCTTTTACTCATCGTAACACCATGCACCCTAGGGACATTATCAGCATGCTTGGGGTGAAATTATTGATATAATAAGTCTATACCAGGGTTGATAAGACAGACAAATTATATTTTCGTTTGTCGAAATAAATGAGGTGATTTTGGATTTTATTGTTTATTAATTATGTGTTCTGTAATAATAAATACGCTGAGCTCTTTTTGTGGATCAGTTTTAATATGTTATATTACTAGGATCCACTTGGATTATATATATCAACAGATTTTTTTACCTTTACTATATATATATATATGTAGTAAAGGTAATAAATATATATTTACACACACACACACAAAATATATATATATATATATATAGTTATGAAAAACTTGGTAATCAGTATGGGTAGTGCCAAGGAGGATGAAAATGAAAACCTGAGAGCTCAATGTAAATCCAGAGCTAATAATTTAAAGAAAAACAGACCACTTTAAGGTTCCATTATAATAATTTATTTCACCAGAGCCCTTTTAAAGGACGCTGGCTGATCCAGCGTCCTCTAAAAGGGCTCTGGTGAAATAAATTATTATAATGGAACCTTAAAGTGGTATGTTTTTCTTTTATAGGGCTCAGTATACAGTATGTATTATACCAGTATTAGAAATATTATAATGGCGGTTTTAGGATTCATTTAATACTAAAATTGATTTAAAATCATTTTTAATATTTTTATTTTGATTATTTTTATTATAATTTTAATTTTTTAATACATAATAATAGTAAATATTATGCGAGTATGTATTTGAATTGCGGGGGTAAACAGTTTGAACATTTGATGGATTTATATTTTTTATTATTGATATGTTATTATTTATATGTTAGTATAATCAATACAATACGTTTTGAGCTTACGTTTTTTTTCTCCATTACTGTATACCTTCTTTGGACTCCCGCCCCTGAAAAATATTCTTTTATTCACCCGTCAACATCTCGTTCCACGTAGAGCGAGTTTCAAAACAGACGCTTGCGAATTCTAATGTTCTTTTTTCCCATTTTTCAAATACAATGTGTCAGCGTGTCTTATGATATCCGATTCTATTACCTGCGGTTACCTTTCATTTTCAGTTCTTACTGATATTTTGACACCTTAGCGTTGTTCATATTACTTCCATATTTGAATGATCGCAAAAATTTAAATTCTTTCTGTTGAAACATGACTAATGCATGGAATAATAATGCAACACAACATTTACTTAGAACAAAATGTATTGAAACAAGAAAGTGTACACAATATTTACATATAGTCTTTTGTATATCCCTGGTAAGACCGTTCCTGGAGAATGTGTTGACTGAGTCGCAGTTGGGAAGAGTCTCTGGTTGAATCTCTTGATTCCTGTATTTATCTATCCACCCACGAGGATAAAATGTGGCACAAGGCCGGTTTAAAGTGGGTATCTCCGAGCCCGTAGGCTCGGCCAAAAATATGGCCTTTCTGAACCCGCCTAGACGGGTTCAAGGCCTGTCTACCACCCTGGACGAAACCCTGCCTCTCGGCAGAGCCTCGTCCGGGTGCCTCACTGCAAAATGCAGAGAGTTCGACTGAGAGTGAATCTCTTGATTCCTCCTCTCTTCCCGGTACCAACCATATTTATATGGTCGGTACTCCACTATGCAAATTAGGTGGATCCTACCACAACACTTTCACTGTTGCTCCGATGTAAAATCTCACCTTCCCTAGGTCCACCATTTGTTGCCAGCTTCGGCTTATATAACACATTTTCTTCCTTGCAATATTTCTATATTGGACATTTGGTCTTGATTCTACAATTACATTTGTTGTTAGTACTTTTGTATAGTCGTTATTTAGTATCTTGTCATGTTTTTTTTTTTAATTAATTGTTCAACGTTCCTCAGGATAACAAACAAACAAACGTCATTTTGAAAATCGCACAGCGTGAAACAGTCTGTAAATAATCAAAAAGTTGTTTTTATGCGGATTAAAAAGATTTTAAAAAGTATTTATAGATCGCGAGAGCTATTAGGGGGATGTAATTAAATATACTTTAATGTCTAAAAAAATTATTTAGTATTATTATTGTTTAGGTGATAAGCATTATAACATAGCACAAATAACTATATACGCATTTTTTACGTATCTGTTTCATTTTGATTTTGCTGATGTGACCTCCATTTTCTGGATTTCTCCTTCTATATTTTGGATAGGAGTCATTCCTTTGTTCAAATTTAAATTTACAAATAGCGACAGCTATTAGGGAGGTGTTATTAAATATACTTTAATGCATAAAAATATTCAGTATTATTATTGTTTAGGCAATAAGCATTATAACATAGCAGAAATAGATATATACACATTTTTTACGCATTTATTTCATTTTGATCAAGCTGAGGTGACCTCCATCTTCTGACTATCTCCTTCTATATTTTGTATCTCTTTCTCAAATTTAAATTTACAGATCGCAACAGTTATTAGAGAAATGTAATTAAATATACTTTAATGCTTAAAAAATTATTCCGTGTTATTATTGTTTAGATAATAAGCATTGAAACATAACACAAATAGCTATATTGCGAAAAAAAGAATTTTCGACAATATACGCATTTTTTACGTATTTATGGCTATTTTTTATCTTTTCAAAAACGATATTCTTGTACATGTAGTTATGGATAATATTATACATTAATTACTAAGTTTTTAAATTAATAATTATTTGTGCTCAGTTGTTGACATCAATAGCTATCTGCTGATGTGTTAATATTGATTATTGATTATACAAACATATCAATAATAGCATATCAAAAATAATATTTACTATATACCTACTTTTGCATCCCCCACTTCCTTTATACAGACACACACATGCCGATAAGTGAATGACTGCATCTCCTCTGTTACACGAAGGTACAAACTGATCATCCACGACAACTTCAGTATCCGAATGGGGAATGACTCTGCAACGTGGAGTTCACTGATTGGAAACAGTGAGAATTGTAATGACATCGAGTTTCGCCTTCACGAGCTTTTCATGATCATTACCATTTCCCAGCTCGCTACCCGAGAAAACAATGGCACACTTTGGACTATTCCATCACCCGACAGAGAGGCCACAGTGACGTCCTTATCTCGGAGTAGAAGATCTGCTGGACGGACTGTAGAATCTGTGGCGTTATTTGAAAATTCAAATCCAATCAAGAGCTCCAACAAATATCCCGGATCTGAAGACCATATGCGAAGAAGAATGGAACAAAATACCAACTAGAATTTGCAAATAATCAAGAACTACAATAAGAGGTTGGTTGCTGTAGAAGTGAATAATGGCTATTCTGCAAAGTATGAAATGAAAATGCTGTATTGTTTTTTGTATGGTACGAATACTTTTTTCATCCATTAAAATTTTTCCATTTTAATGGGATTTATTTCTATTAAATCAATTTTTTCAGTTTTCTATGCAAATTTAGTTATTATGCATCTGTGTACAGTTAATTATAGGAAAAGTATGTTTATTCATTATTTGGAAATACAATAAATTCAAAATTTGTTTGTGTACGAATAATTGTTTCCCCCACTATATATATATATATATATATATATATATATATATATATATGCGGGGGAAAGAGATAGATTCATGTCTTTCCCAAAGACATTGGTTCACACGCAAAAGGCTAATTAGGATTTCAACTCAGCTCACTAATTAAACTTTCCGTGTTGATAACG